AGCTATAAACGATTGAACAGTGGTCATTTTTTTGTGATCGCCTAGTATCGTACTTCTTAGGAAAAAATCTTTTGAAATAAGGGGCCCATTTTTTTTCTCCTTTTTTTCTCGGCCATGGGAAATCGTCTGGCCAAAACGAAATCAGAAAATCAACAGGAGCTTTTTCTAATATGTTGACCACGCAGAGCAGTTTTGAGTTGTATGAGTCTTAAAATTGTCAGCTCTTTTTCACCCAAAATTTTTAGTTTTTTGCTTCTGTTCTATAAAATACTAGCATTCTAAATGGAGGAGTACATCAAGAGTAATACAAAGGGCTGCACAATTGTGTAATTTTTTGAGATTGATGGTTCAAAGATTTTTTTTTACATCACACATCTTGTAGAGGTTTTTCTTGTTGAATTTGCGAGCACTCCATTTTCAGGCCTCATCTCCTACATACCAATGACATCATGTTCAATGTTACATTCGTTAACTATTACAAAGCTGATATTGATGGCTATTGTAAGTGCTCTTTTTAGGGTTTCAATCTTTTTTCAGAGGATTCTTTAGTGAACCATCATATATCGCTTGACAACTTTGAGAATTTAAAAATGCTGTTTTTAACATAGTTATTTAAAAGTCAGATGAACATAGCGGCATTTCATGATGTTTTTCGCTCTAGATTTTATTGAAAGACCCCTTTAATATTTCCATTCCAGCACTTCCCTACTCTATGATGGCTGAATCCCTCCTGTCTATGCATAGGAAGGAGGCAGAATTTCTTGCCTTGGAAAGGATTGATGCTGTAAAAATGCATTCTTCAGCTCCCCACCAAATTATTTTCACAATGCAGGTATGTGCATCGGTCATCCGGTGTTAGAATTTCTATTCTGCTGTAGTCTGTATTATAGATAATATTGAGTATGTAATAATGGAAGGTATGGATGTGAAGATGATCTCTTTTTCTCGATTTTTCATCCTCTGTTCTTCCATTTCCATCTTCCATTTCAAATTTGCACGTTTTTGATTTATTAGACGGTAGAATTCAGCAGTAGGCGGAGCTTACGCCACCTCCGATATTTACATCACGAGGAATAGATTGAAAGAAGTACATGTGCCCTTTAGATTCGCGAGTCCGATGTTCCCCTACAGCTGCTGGTACAACGGCGTCTAGTGTCGAGTATTGTAGCCCCTGCCATAGTTGATGGATTCAGGCTTGAGGTTTGATATTATCAATTTGAAGCTAAACATAGCTACAAATTTTCTAATGCTTAACTAGTTTAGAGCATTACTGCTGGAACTGATATCGATCACAAAGAAGAGATTTTCCGCGGTTTCATTGCCTACGCCGATGTGGTGGGTTCTCCTATATCATTTGATACTTTCTTCTCCCTAAAACTTCTTCAAATTTTTCTCTTAAGACCTCATCTCCAACTGTTCGATTACGATGGAGTCGAGTAGCTGGTATGCCAACATCGGTGAATGAAACAAAGACGAGTCCGAACATTCGATTCTTATGGCGTGGTCCAAAACAAAAGCTCATTGCCACGCAGAAACTTCGCCCATATGACTCTATATATGGTACACAGTTTGCTGCATTGCGATTGGGTACTTTGAATACGACAACTCTGGAGCCTGGAATGTGGAGTGTTGTTGTTCAGCCAGGTAAGATATGATTAAGTTTTTTTGCGATCTAAGTGAATCTGTTTCCCTTCACATTACTTCTTGCTAAATCGACGCGATGTTTTGTTTTGTTTTGCGAATGTGTTTCATTTGAAGCAGCCGCGACTGATAATGCATATTTCGCAGCTTCATAAGTAGGGTATCGAAAAAGAAAGGGATGGGCAGCCCATAAACTGGCTCATCTTTCTTCAATAAACCTCAAGAAATTCTAAAAACGCGTCCAAGTACATGTTGGATGGTGTAACATAGACCTTTATAATAGTATCTATCAAAATGCGGGCGAAACCAGTTTATCATGTATCTATCGTGAAGAAGAAACGAT